GATAAGAACCCTACTCTTAGAACCTCAGATCTTGGAAATTGTATGATGATTAATTCAGGCTATAGGAAATGGACAAGCATAACTCACGGTGTGCAGAGTGAACAAATTTACTAACTGTCGCATGAACGAAGCACTTGACATGATTGACGCCTTGTTGAGCTGTTCCTGCCGTAGGTCCGGTGACTCGTGCATGGGCTGCATTAGTGTATTCACAGCATCAATTACCGCATGTGTCAATGCATCATCATTTTGTGCTAGCGCAGCCACCACCGCTCTGCCAAGATTTTCTCTGACACTAAAAATTTAAAAATTACCCTTACTTATATATTATAGGTAGTAGATATTGTGTTGGTAATATTTCCATTAATAGTCGCAGCTACCCACCCAGGCAATTGAGTGAAGGCTTCGAAACCAGCTTTAGACGCCACTAGACGTCGAATCGCTTGGAATCTACCCTCTTCCAACTGTAAACGAATTTCACGATCTGAGAGACCTTTCCAATAGACAAAATCACCGCTAGAAGGCACAGAACGAGGAGTACTAGGACACCGAGAGAGAAGGACGATTAGAGCGTCTTTGATTAGTCGTTCCTTGTTTTCAGTAAAAATACCCTAGTGACAAAAAGGCAGGAAAAGTGTTATAAAACTGATTGGAGTGTGAAAAAGACAAGATCGCAACAACTCACGTCCTGACTGACGGCATGAACTAGTCCGCTGTATGCAACGTTCGCATTGAATCTTTCAACTACCTCCCAGAACGAAATATCTTCTACAAAAACCCCAAATTAGCAAAAGAACAGAATGCCTACCCGGAGGTTGGCGCAAAAATCGAAGATGCATAGATTCGATCTCTTCAGATGATGGAACTGACGTGGGTTGTATGCGTAGACTTCGACGAGATTTTGTAGAACGAACAGAGACACATTGATTGCCGCTGGCTCTAACTCCATCCAAAATTGAACAGAGTAGAGAGTCTCTGTGAAAGTAAAAAAAGATTCCTTATTGTACCATGCTAGCTGTACTCAATAGCACCACCGGCTTCGCGCTACTAATTCGCACGGAATCACGTCAGGTCCAGTTAACAGCGTGGGTATGGCAACAAGTCAACTTTCCTCCCATCGCAAAGGCGGCTGTAAGATTCTCAACTTTGCTGACCACCGCACAGTCTGTCATGCCGCATAAGGGCGCAAGAGGTGAGCCTGGTTGATGAAGGAGCGTCTACCGAGGAAGGTTGACCGTTTCCACGTCACATCACCACATGTGAGGGAGAGGGTGTTTGCATTGCTAAGGAGTGGGAAAAGTGTGCCTAGAGTTGGGGGCCGAGGACTGAGTAGT